ACAAGCAAGGGAGAGGGGCAGAGGGGAAGAGAGAAGAGAGAATCCCAAGCAGGCTCCATGCTTAGTATGCAGCTGGATGTTGGGCTCAATTTCATGACCCTGCCAGGATAATGGACCTGAGCCAAAATCAAGAGTTGGACACTCAACTGAGTGAGCCACCCAGGTGCCCCAAGCACAGTAGCTTTATAAAACTTCCAAGCACATCTGTTTTAAGATTTTAATTGCAAAGCAGTATTTTCAGAAGGAAGACTTGCTTTATGAAATGTTGGCTAGGTTTGGCCTCTTGGTACATACAGTATGGAGCTTATAAAGCCAGACATGCTTTTAAAAATTTTTTTTTTCAACATTTATTTATTTTTGCGACAGAGAGAGGCAGAGCATGAACAGGGGAGGGGCAGAGAGAGAGGGAGACACAGAATCGGAAACAGGCTCCAGGCTCTGAGCCATCAGCCCAGAGCCCGACGCGGGGCTCGAACTCCCGGACCGCGAGATCGTGACCTGGCTGAAGTCGGACGCTTAACCGACTGCGCCACCCAGGCGCCCCCAGACATGCTTTTAAAAACCAATTCAGTATCCATTTGAAGCATATTATGAAAAATATATACACTCAAGGACACTAAGAGCTGCCATTGTCTCTGATGGTGTTAGGTGATATTTCTCTCGTTACTTTTTTCTCATTTATTGAAAAACTCATTTACATGAAAAAACTTTATTCCTTCGATAGTTACAAATATTCTTTGTAAAAAGCTTAGAAAGCACATAGGCCTTAAAAAAAACAGCAAAAGCAAAAAAAAAAAAAAAAAACAGTCAAAGATAACAAAAGTTAACATTTGGCTTCTACCCTCAACTTTTGTTTCTATGTATATTTATGTCTTTCTCCCTTTACAAGTGTACCCCTGTTCTATTTTGTAACTTGTTTCAACTTAATGGATTTTGAACATTATGTTAATGTCATTAAATATGGCTGCATATATCCTACTGAGTGGATATATCCTAATATATTTAATCACCTATTAAGAATTTGATTTTAGTTTTTCAATAATATGAAGAATATTCTTATATAGTCTCTCATATACACACTTTTGTTTTATACATTTATCTGATTTGCATAAGATAAACTTTTAAACATAAAAACATGTTTTCAGCTTTATTAAGATTAACATGTAACAATATCACATATTTAAAGACTTTTGATATATATTGCCAAATGGCCTTCTAGAAAAGTTGCACCAGTCCACATCTTAACTAATAGCAGACATTTGCCCTTGCGTCTAACAATAAGTGCTATTTACAAAAAGTACAAAAAAATGCATTTTTTGGTTTAATATTTTCTTTGGTAAGGTGAAGTTCATTTGTTTTTTACCTGAATATTGGCATTGTGACATTTACCAGAATCTCTGGCTTTTTTTCTTCTGTTTGCAAAACTGTCTTGTTCTTAGTGATTAAAAAACTTTAAATGAAATATCACAAGAAATTTATGTTCAAGATTATGAATGGAGAGTTCCACGGATTATCACAAAAAGGGCAACTTGTGCAACTGCGATACAGGTCAAGAGGAATGTTAGCGCCCCAAGAATGCTTATGAGGTCTTTTAACAATCACTCCTATCTCTTCTGCCTCCACAAAACTACCATCCTGACTTGTAACCAAAACACATATAAAAGATTACTCATGATCCTTTATAAAGATCTATAAATTGGAAACAACCCAAATGTCCAAGCAACACAACATTGAAAAAATGCATAACATATTAAAAAAGAAAATATATAAAAATAGAAATGAATGAACTACCTCAACATGCAGCAACATAGATAAATCTCACAATGTAATGTTGAATGAAGGAAGTCATAAAATGATACATTGACATACATTGTGAAAATAGTTAAAACTAATCTGTGGTACTAGAAGTCAGGATTGTGGTTCTTCTATGTGTTTATTGAACACTTCCTTTGTGCTGGATTTTGTACGGGTTACCTATCGATACGGTAATGAGTCATAATTAGTTGGTGCCCTTAAGTTGCTTATGGTA